CCCCCGGGTGACAGCCGCGTGTGCCAGGCCTGGACACGTGTCCCCTGCAGGTCCCGCGTCACCGCCGGTCCCGGAACCCGCGGGGGGGGGGGGGGGGGCCNGGACAGCGGCCCAGTTACCCCCCCCCGGTACATCCCAGTGCTCCCAGTATGGGGTGAGCCCGCTCCCATCTTCCAGTGGCACTGCTCATCCCAGCCACCATCACCCTGTGAGCTCCCAGTACATCCCAGTCCCTCCCATTGTCATCCCAAACCCTCCCAGTAAGCACCGAGTCATTTCCAGTATCCCCAGTCCCTCCCAGTCCCTCCCAGTCCTTCCCAGTCCCTCCCATTGTCTTCCCAGTCTCTCCCAGTAAGCACCGAGTCATTTCCAGTATCCCCAGTAAGCCCCGGTCCCTCCCAGTCCCTCCCGTTGTCATCCCAAGTCTTCCCAGTCATTACCAGTATCCCCAGTCCATCCCAGTCCATCCCAGTGTATTCCCAGTCCATCCAAGTCCTTCCCAGTTTCCCCAGTAAACCTCAGCCCGTCCTCCAGCGCCAGCCAGTCCAATCCCAGTCCCTCCCAGCCTTCCCATTTTCCCATCCCAGTGCTCCTCCAGCCCCTCCCAGCACTCCCCAGTCCATCCCAGTCCCTCCCAGTCCCCTCCAGAGCCCTCCCAGTCCCACCCAGTATCAATCCTGGGCCCCCCATCACGCCAGTGCCCTCCAGTCTGCTCCCAGTCCCTCCCAGTGTGCTCCCAGTGCCTCCCACACTCCCAGCAGCTCCCAGAATGTGCTCCCAGTGCCTCCCAGCACACTCCCAGCACACTCCCAGCAGCTCCCAGCGTGCTCCCAGTGTGCTCCCAGTGCCTCCCAATCCCTCCCAGTCCCTCCCAGTTTGCTCCCAGTGCCTCCCAGCGTGCTCCCAGTCCACCCCAGTGCCCCCCACTGTGCTCCCAATCCCTCCCAGCGTGCTCCCAGTTTGCTCCCAGTGCCTCCCAGTGGCTCCCAGTGCCTCCCAGTCCATCCCAGTGGCTCCCAGTCCATCCCAGTGTGCTCCCAGTGCCTCCCAGTGCCTCCCAGTGGCTCCCAGTCCACCCCAGTGGCTCCCAGTGCCCCAGCTCACGGGTCCCGGGTGCCCGCCATGGCTCTGGGCCACACCGGGCGCTTCCACCTCCGATTTATAGACGGGAAACCACAGCCCTGAGTCACGGCGGGGGCGGGGGGTCGGGATGGGCCCCCCCAGACCCAAACAGACACCCCAAAAGGCAGAGAAATGCCCCAAAAGGGCAGAGAAATGCGCTGAAATGTGTGGGATGAAGGCGGAGAAATGGCACAAACTGGGAGGGTAGAGACAGCCCGAAGCCATCACGGCAAGATACCCCAAAAAGCAGGGAAATGACCCTAAAAAAACCAGATAGAAACACCCCAAATTGGGCAGAGATATTGGGAAATGCCTCGAAAGAGCTGGGCAGAGACACCCCAAAACAAGCAGGGAGAAATTCCTTAAAACCCACAGAAATGCCCCAAAATGGTGCCACCCTCAGCTGGGCAGAGACACCCCCAAAATGCAGAGAAATGGCCCCAAATGATGAGGCACAGACACCCCAAACCGGCCCTAAAATGCTAAGAAATGCCCCAAAACAAGAGAGCAGAAATGCCCCAAATGCCCAGACAGAGACGTCCCAAAATGAGGAGGAAAGTCCCAAAATAACGGCACAGACAGCCCAAAATGGCCAGAGCCGTCCCAAAACGAGACAAAACACCCAAAAATGGTCAAGGACACCCTAAAATGAGACAAAATGACCCAAAACAGCCAGGCAGAAACACCCTAAAAATGGCCAGAAAGAGGAAATTCAAAATGTGGAGAGACGCCCCAAAACACCCCAGATTTGTCAGGCAGAGAAACCCCAAAATGTCTGAACAGAGAGTCCCCAAAATGAGGAGAAACACCCCAAACCAGCCAGGCAAAAAAAACCCCCTAAAAAGCAGAGATTCACCCAAAAATGGCCAGGAAGAAACGCCGCAAATCGAGCGGGCTGAGCTGCGCCAAAACGAGGAGAAACGCCCTCAAATAAAGGGGTAAAAACCCTTCAAAATGCCCTAAAATTCAATAAAACACCCCAAAACTGCTGGGCAGGGATACCCCTAAAGCAGCCAGGCAGAAATCCCCCCAAAAATGATGTCTTGAAGCGTTTGGGGTCCCAAAAAATGCAGGAGTTTGTCCCCCCGCCACGTCCCATCCCCCACAAACGCCACCGAAACGCCCGAAATGCCCCAAAATGACGCTGTCGGAAAAAGGAATTTGAACACCTCCTCCAAATGGCCCCAAATCTCTTGGGTACCCCCAAATCCCTAAAATCTGCTGAGGTTTTTAAATCTCCCCCCCTTTTAAAAACTCCCCCCCGGCACCTCCAAATTTTGGGGGCTTTTTCCACCCGCAGGCCCCTGAGTTTCGTCCCTTTTTTTTTTCCACCCCAAAATCCACTCGGTTGAAAGTCAGGTTTTGATGTTTTCCAGCCCCGAATCGGTCGGGTTTTACCCCAAAAACGTTCTGGGTGTACCACCCGGGACCCCTCCCCATTTTTTGGGGTGGGTTTGGGTGTTTTTCCACCCCTTGGGACTTCCCCAGCTCGAAGAGAGGTGAAACCGAACCCGAGCCGGCAGGAAATAAGGGAGGGGGTGCGGTGGATTTTTGGGTGGGGGTGGAGCAGAGCAGGTGCCTGGCCCCCACCCCCCACCCCCATCGGGACCCCCA